CGAACATATGCATCCTTTTTAGGATCTCTTTCCCTTTCTTTCTCCCTCTCTCCCCTTCACTCTCTCTCTTTATCTAGTTTTATAGTGCTTTACGAGGACGAATTTACGTCAAGATTAGTCGCCGACCTGGCAAAAAGCACGGTCCTATCGGCGCGTAATTCCCGAAGCGGCACGACGCGGCCGACATAATGAAGGCACGTTGCGTCGCGTGCGGAAGAAACGAGTTGAATTAAGCTCGCTCGTTAGGCACAGCACTTAATTGGATTCGCTAATTTTACACGGGACAAATTGAAACGACAGACGTCACAAAGTCGATGCGCGAGGCAACGAGCTTTCGCACGCGCGACGAGCTTATCGCGAAACGATATTTCGCAGAGAGGACAGATATTACGATCATCAACATGACGCACGAAAGGCCCCACACTTCATGACCTCAGCGATAATTTTGTCGATTGATTTGAAACACGTTTGTTTTCAATGCGAAATGTCGATCAATCCGTAAAGCTATGGATAGTATCCAAAAAAGAACTCCGCCTGCGAGGTGCTAATCCCACATAGGAAAAACATTTGGTTAAATTGACCAAATTTCTGGTGAAATATTAGCGAACCAGAAAATTCCGGTTGAAATTACCCGAATTTCTGGTTCGTTCATATTTCATCAGAAATTTGGTTAACCCAACCAAACTTTTTCTCCGTGCATATTCTGAGTGACAACTTTTACCGAAAAGATATTCCTCTTCTAATAAAGAGGAAGAAGAATAGTCCGTGAATTCTACTAGAGTTCTATGAGAATCTACTAAATATTATTCTAACTTTTTTTTTTCGAATTAAAAAGAATGTGTTGAGAAGCATGTGTTGGAAGCAGAATGCATTCTTATTAAGAGAAATTTCTGTTGAGAACAAGACTTACGCTAAAAAAACGTACGATAAAAGATAAAATCCTTCTAACTTGAAGTATATTACGCTTAGAATATTTTCTCCTTGGTTTTAGGAGAATCTTTTGAGGGGAGGGGGAGAATATATATATAAAACTAAAATTCTCTGGCGTTTCGAAGGATTTTGTTAAGAATGAGATTATATTTTGTTGGCCGATTAGTTTCTCGTTACTAGAGAGCTGAAAGTTTGCGCATTCGCCACGCGGACAAGTTTAATAAGAATTTCTCGCGAGATAGTAGCGTGCGGATTAAGTACATTATCGAAAAGATATACATCCAGGTACCTTCGCCATGTATCATCGTTAACTTTCGCTATTAAGTGCAAATCTTTCGGCTAATTAGACCGAGATTAGCGGTCGTGTGAACCGAGCTTGTGTAATGTAACGTAACATAATCCTGTTAACATGTACGAAATCATGCACGCAATCGCGGATCGTGTGACAAGCGCTTAAAGCATTTACGGGCATTTCCGAGCCGATCTCCTCGCAACAAATCGGCCCGACCCGCGGCTGTTTAATCAGATTCTCTCTGTCTATACGGACGCGATGTGGAAGATTTGTCGTCCGCCGCGATTTGGACGAGTATACCGAGAGGAATAATTAAATAAAGTCGGTCCCGCGACCCGGAAAGACAAACTCGCCGCCAGCTCGGCAAATAGAACGTCGACGAGAGACTCGCGCCGCGCAAGATCAACGAAGGGAGCCTTCTTGACGAAACTGCTTCTCAAACTTGCCGTATAACGGCGGCGGTGGTTCCGTCCACTTGCGCATCTGATCGTCCGCCACACGTTATGACTATCGTATGAAACGCTCGAGTAAGCTTCCTCGTTCGTTTGCTGAGCCGAAGATATAGTTGAGTGGAGGAAATTCAACGAGAACGCCGAGACTTGTATTAACGTCGTTACTTCTTATCTACGACACTAAGAGCCATTTCCACAATCTACGGTTAGCTTTAACTATCGGTTAAGTGTCAACCGTGACTGGTCAATTCTGATCAACGTCAAATACGATTGGTCAATTTCAATGGAATAACCGGTAGTTAAAGTTAACCGAAGATTATAAAAATGGCCCTAAAGCCCACATTAATAGTTGTCACTTGAAACTTGTCTCACGTGAGATACACAAATTTTAGCCCACAGTTGAATATGTATTTATTGCATAAAAAGAATATTATAGTTTCCTTTTTCATATAAATTCCTTTCGATTTTTGAATTTTATATAAATCCCTTTTAATCTTCAAATTTGTTTCTAATAATAAAGAATATATAGATTGTCAGTAAGATCTATTTTGCTAAAGAATATACTAGATTTCGCTAGAAACATAGCAGATTTTTTAATAGCACACTCTCTAAAATATAAATAGTACGTGCGGAACGAAAGGATAGTCAGAAAATTAATGCCAGAGTCAATTCTACTTTCGGTTAAGTCAGTTACGTTGATTTATTCCTCGGTTACAAAATTCTGTAGCAATTTTTACTGTTAAGATTATCTCCGTATAGTTGAGTCGATATTTGTAACATCGCATTTGCAACCGCGGCTCAACTGACGAACTCACCATCTAACTCTGAATTCAAATCTGAGTATCTCACTTGAGGTAAGTTTCAAGTAACAATTATTCGTACGTGCCTAAGTGTCTCGATAGGAGCAAGCTGCATCTTGGAGGTCTATTTGATTGAGATTCTCTTGAGATTAAAAGTCTGAAATATGAGTTTGCCATTTGATCGCGCCTCCTCGACACTTAATTGACATCTCATTTCGACAAGGAATCTTCTGTCAACATCTCGTCTTTATCAGAGATTCGAAAAAGCGCTACTTTTGCCTACACTTATAATAACAAAGAATTTCACTGACATTTTAAAGCCACACATGATTGATTCCTCTCTTTTTCTTTCCTTATCGGGAAACGTTCGTATCGAGGCGAACCTTGTGGAACGATCGTGGTTCTTTGCATTTATCGTTCACCGGATCCTTTGAGGGCTCAATTCCGGTCTGAATCATAACGCGAGACTTTTACGGGAACGAATGAAAACGAAATCGAGTGTCAAAGCTACCGCCTCTCTAATCCTTTTATATTTGATGTCGCGGTGTTTCACCGCGTTAATAGGTTCCGTGCTGAACACAAATCTGCGGGTGAATGTGCAGCCGATACTAAAGAGAAAAGAAAATAGTGCTTTTCGTATCGAACGTATCGTCCGAGCCAGTAAGGAGGCATTATTACTCCAACCTTGCGGACATTACGTGCAGTCGTAAGAACAACGTTCCTTTCTGTCTCTTCCTCTCGACAAACGAGGATTGTCATCGCGTCGAACGCGCCGCTTACATGCGAGACAGCTGCAATTAACGCGATGAAGACACAGATTGAAGTTCCCAAGCTGAGGAAAGTTCTCCCACAGGTTCGCGATCGTATCGTTAACTGTGCGACGAACATGTCGACGAGGAGAATCCCGGATATACGTGGGGATTGAAGTCGCCTAAAGCCGAGGTGTCGCCGCCTCGGCCGGTCTCCCGTCCCGAAATACCTCCAGGCTCCTCTTGCGGTTCTTCTAGGGCGTTAACCCTCTCGTCTTGGCCGAGACTTAAACCGCGCGCATTAATCAGCCGACCCGGAAAACGCGAATGCGCGAGTACGCATCGGAGAACTGCTCTCCAAAGTGCAATCGGTGTATTCTTCACTGAAATGCTGTACTTGTGACTTATGGCTTAGTTATAAGTTACGGCATTGCAATCAGCAAAAACTCGCCGATTGGGTTAGTTAAGAATAGCGATTATTCCCGTTATTGACGCATTTTGTGAGCACAGATAGTGTCATTGCACGCAAGCGCTGCATGGAAGCCGTTATCCCGTCGTCACAAATGCAAAAACTTCAATTTGGTATAACGTACTTGTTTGTCATAGATCTTGCAGTGAAATCTTACCTCTGCTAGTCAAAATCACTAAAAAATAAAATGAAGCAGTAAAGTAGGGGTGTTTTCACTGCAAATCAGTGTTTATTCACTGATCGTCAGTCTACTAGCTCCTTTTACTGATTCAATCAAAAACATTTTTACTGACTCACTTTAAGAGAATGCGTTTTTCTTCGTTACTAATGTCAAATTCATGATATCTTGTCTGTATTATGCAGCAAGCACTTGTTTCCCTTCGTTATTCCCGAGAATTATATTTCTGCTTTTATTTACTCGCCTTCCCCCTCTCTCTCTCTCTCTCTCTCTCTCTCTCTCTCTCTCTCTCCGCGAGATATCTCCCCGTCAAAAAATTCGCGCGTCATAATGAATAACGGGCTCGAAGCCTGGCAATGTTTCATTGAAGTCTCTGAGTATTCGAAAAATGGGGGATGATTTAATAAATGACTTCTCCGGCGCTTTTGCGACGATTGCGACGCGGGGGAGAGGAAGCGTGACTCACGCAAACTCGCTGAGATCTCAACGCCATATATCCCGGCCCGAAGCACTCGCTGCGTTAATCTCCCCAACCCCGACGGATTAATCAACCCACCGAAATGGACCATCGATGTCTCTGGGGAGCGAGTCAGGGTTGGGATCAAGGGTTTCGTTCTATCGATTTCGTGGATCGATCCGTCGGTCTTTCGACCGACAGCCGTTATCACGCGCGCGCGCGCGTGAGAGGTAGAGGAAGAGAGAGAGAGAGAGAGAGAGAGAGAGAGAGAGAAAGCACGTAATGAGACACCTAGAAAGCCCTCGGGAATTATCACGTCACGACCTTCCGCGAACGTTAACCCTTTGTCTTCCATTCGGCATTTCAAACAGCCTTAATCGGCGTGTTAATTGATCGGTCGCGATCGGAACGACGATCTCACGACTTCTGCGATGTGAGGAATGCTCGTGGGCAAAATCCACTCTCTGATAGCGCGGAGAACCACCTCGAGAATCGTCGTCGCGTTGTCAGCCAGAACGACTGACGCACTCGTTAACCCTCTCCGTACTCCATTCACCTGACCCTCTAAACCGTCTAGATAGGTGCGCGTGTTAATCGGCCAGCCGGGGCTCCATCGCGAGAAGCGCTTGTGATGGGGCGAACGCCACCCTGTGTGACAACGCCGAGGAAATACCTCGAGGATCACGTTGCCAGCCAGTCTCCGCGAGCGTCAACCCTTGATCTTCCACCTGGTCTTAAATCCCGACGCGTTAATCGGCTGTCGTCTCATCCCCGAGTGCCTCGTCCAGGTTTCACCGGGGGGACACAAAGAAGGGGGAGGGAGGGGAGGCAAAACAGGAGGAGGGAGGAGGAAATAGGAGGAGGAGGAGAAGGAGGAGAAGGAAGATAGAGGGTGTCGACCGGCGTTTTCCGCGATTTCGCTGCGAGTCCCTCGCGCTCTTTTGGCGGGAACGAGCAAACGGGAATCACGGGGGTGGGAGTGCTGAGCAACTGAGATAGCTACCCTCTTTCCGCGAGCTGACACGCACGTTCTCTCCCGTTCTCCCGGCTCGCGAGACGAGAGAGCACTGCGTGCTCCTCTGAAAGCAACCCCTGATTCGAAGCCCCGACTCTCCCCCGCTATCCCTTGCTCCTGGACCGCCACCCTCCCCGCCCTCTCAGCCGCTGTCCTCTCCCTCTCGGCATTTCTCTCTCGTTCTCTCTCTCACTCGCGCCACTTTTCCCCACCCTATTCTGTTCCTCTCTCTCGCCCTCCCCCTCTCTCTTTCTTGCTCTCTCTCTCTCTCTCTCTCTCTCTCTCTCTTCTCTCTCTCTCTGTTTCCTCTCCGTCATCTCTCTCTCTCGCGGAATTCTATTTCATCTCCGTCCGACTGTGTCTACTCTCCTCCGTCTTCCTCTTCGCACAACGCCTCCTCCTCCTCCTCTTCTTCCTTCTCTTCCACCCCTCTCTACATCTTCGTTTGGCGTCCTCCTCGACCAGCGAGCTTCTTCTAGCCGACGATGACGTGCTATCGTCCTCTCTCGACGTACACTCAATTTCGGGTAACTTCAGCTGTCCCTCAATAAGAACGGGAATTGGTCGAGCGCCAATTTTTGCGGGCGCGGCTCAGGGGTGAGTTCCCTTAATGTCCTCCGCCTTGGTTCCAGCGCGTTGCCGTCGCCGTCGCCGCTGCCGGCCGTCGTCGCCCACGCGAGTTACTGGGGCTTCCTCCTCTTAAGGTTTCTTTGCTCGTTTCTTGAAGGATTCCGCGTGTCCTCGTTGATCTTGGTGTGTGTCTTCTTATTTTGCAATTGTGTGTGTGCGCGCGTCCTTCGAGAGATTTTGGCCGACGGCGATGTTTTCTTCGGCTCGATCTCCGCCATAGGGTAAATAATACTACACGGTCTCGGAGGTGTAAGGTGAAGCATATAGCGACAAATTGCCTTGGGAGAAAAAAAACCTCGCCTTCTGATAAAGGCTCACGTTACAGTCAGCTTTTATCGCGCCCCTCGTTGCTCTGCCATTTCTTCAGTGCGAATTGTTCAGTCCTGCTTCACTTTTGTACTATACTACTGTCCATTTCCGTACATTCAGAGGAACGTGAAATTTGGGAAAAACCAATTTTACTTACACGTGGACCGACAACTCATGCAAAAAATATATTCTCATGCCGATTAATATTCCAATTCCAATTGGAAAAATTATTCGTTTTCCGAATTACCGGATAGCGTGATCTAATTCCATGGTTGAAAATCTGCCGGATTTATCAAGATTTATTTATATACAGTACAAGGCATTTATGAAAAGAGAGAGCGAGTTTCATTTATAGAAATAAAAATTTACTCGTACGAGACGATCGCAATATTCGGCGGAAATCACGGGTCGAAAATTGCGAGTCGTTTCGCTTACATTTTCGCGTGGCGCCCGTTTTTATGAACATTAAACGAGTGGAGGAACCACGAGTTTCATCATTGAACATTGGCATAACAAACGCTAAAACGCGACGACGTTTAAGTCTTCCTTTGATCGGCCGACTGCGACATTAAATTTTCATTTTAACGCAACAGTCGTAGCTCGCTAATTCTGAAACGCGACGGAGGTCCGGACATAATTTGACATTATCTCGCAACATACAAAATCAACAGCGCGTTAATATCTCATTACTTTGACGATGTAACATTCACCGGAGCTGTAAACAAGATCGGACAAAGTGCAACGAGAGAAGTGCATTGTATTTGATTCGCCGAATTTCACGCCACATGCAAAGTGGATACGCGTTGTTCCGCGAAAGTTTCGCATAACGACTTCCGCGACACATTTTTATACACAATACTCTGTATATGTGTTTTTGTATATAATATCTCCAATGTATATATATATATATATATATATATATATATATATATATAATGCTCTCTTTGCACACATATCTGCGTTCTCCAGTCTCATGTGCGCATCGCGCTCATACATACATCGTTACCGTGACGTCAGCATGACTCTCGCAGCGCTTTACGGGCAAACGCCAACGCGTTTCACCCGTTAAGCAAATCCCATCTCGCACAGCGATAAAATATACGTCGCTTCGTGGAAATGATCGCACGTATAAATCATATAATACGTGAATCGCGTATACAAATTGCAATAATAAAGGGCGCGAGACGCGCGCGAAAACGCGAATTGAAACGACAATTGCGGGGAATGGAGTTAATTAGGCTAATTAAAGAAGAACTCATTAGACGGAATATTCGCGGATGAACGAGACACAACCGACGTGTCGCGCGGTGACGAGAAAATCAAACAAATACTAGAATATTCAAGTTTTATTATTAAATCTCTCATTCAAGTATCAGCTTCATCGACGATATCGTTTCGAGTTTGCTGATCTAGTGACGCGACGCAATTTTCGCGAGATAAGCATAATTTATAATTGTCAATGAACATAATAATAATAATTTCGACAGAGTAGGGGGCAAGTGGGGAAAAATCAACAGCGGCGTTAAATCAGCGGAATATTCACGTCGTGTTAATTATGTGCTTCGTTCGATCGACTTCCTGCACGAACGAATATTCCATTCACTCTCGAAACGTCAAATTCGCTCGTCCTGGGAACATGTCTTTTTTTCTCTCTCTTTCTCTCTCTCTCTCTCTCTCTCTCTATCCCTTTCTCCCTTTCTCTTTATCTCCCTTTCCCTCACCGTGTGTAAATCTTGATAGAGCACAGAGTGTGTGAAAATTTATGAGAACTACTGTACGCTTAATAGAGAAACGGACGTATCGGTGGAAAAAACTAACAGTCGCCGTATGACTTAACGAAGTGTGAATCTATAGAGCTCGGCCCCGGAACGATTTGAATATGCAGTTCGCTGGGCTTCCATCGTGGTGGGCGGCGCACGCCTTGTTGCATCCAAGTGTGTGCATTTGACACAGGTACAATACATATACTGGGTGGCCATTAGGACAACGGGCGACCGGCGCGCCGTCCAATTTTTGTTTATTGGCCGCGATCGGCTGGACGGTTTTACTGTCCCTTTCGCCCCGAATTGCCCGCCGCTGCATCGCGTCCGTTTTACAGCGACTGATCTTTACGACATGAAGAATTTTGCTCGACACGCGTCGACACGCGCGATGCGTACGCGGATCTTAACTCTCCAATCGAGATTCTCGCTCTGCTCTGCTTCCCGCTGTTCAATTACAGTTAAAATTACAGTTTCTCGTGCGAAATTGCAATGCGCTTCCAAGTCCACGAGAGAATCACGCGTAAATTATTTTCGCGCGCGTCCCGGGTAATTCATTGTCGTAATTATCCTCTTTCGTGTAACATATCCGTACGGCGAAAAAAATATAACAGAAAGTAAATAAATGAAAGGCAATGCATTATTGTCAAGTTAATTAACGCAACATGTCGTGGTCGACATTACACGAAGGGAATTTTGTAGGAAAAATTACCTTACAGAATTTGGTAACCGTGAAACATATTGACTGTCATTTTTCATTTCATATTATTTCACACACTTTTATTTCATTTCATATGTGTTATTCATATTTTAGAAATTGAAACGTGCTATTAAAACATTTTCTATATTTCTAGCAAGATTTCCTATGTTCCTTAGCAAGATAGATCTTATAGTGATAGTCTGTGCTTCTGCGCTGCTAGAAATATGTATGGTAAAATCGAAAAGAATTTATATGAGAAAAGAAACTTTAATTTCCACTCCGTCTACAAGATGCGAGAAAAACGTTTGCGTGCCGCGAATACCTGTCCGAGCATGAAGTCACCTCTATTTATCTAGATTTCCTATATTCCTTAGCAAGATAGATCTTATAGTGACAGTTTGTTCTCCCGCGCTAGAAACACGTAGGATAAAGTTGGAAAGAATTTATATGAGAAAAGAAATTTCGATTTTCCCTCCGTGTGCAAGACGCGAGGAAAATGTCAGCGCGCGCCCGGAGATGAAGTCACCGCTAGATCCGAGTTTACGGCGAATGACAGAGTAATCGGCAGGAAGTGAATAATTCCCGAGGCACACGGTGTATAACGCGCGGAGAATACCGCCACGATGGTAATGTAATTAGAGATTGTAAGCAACTGCAAGAAGCGATTAATCATTGAGCTGCCGGCAATTTGGTGTACATACACTGGGCTCGCGCTCGATTCCGCCGCATCGAACCGCATGCATGTTGCACGGATGCGCTTCGGCAGTTACGTGGAGTGCACTTGTGCGGTGCACTGCCAGTCTGCTGCGCATTACCCTGCGACGTATAGCCTAACGCAGTGTTTTTCAGCCGGCGTTTCGAGGGCAAAAGTCGATCTCTGACTTTAAGGACCCGCAGAACACTTCAGCACGCGGAAGAACTTTGGCACGGTATGACGCGAGCAGTAAAAAAATTGAACGTTTACAATCGATTATTCTTCAATCGTAAGAAGAATCGATGACTATGAGTTTCCTTACCGCTTAAGAGGATGCTGGAGTCGATGACGGACTCGAGCAATGTCGATAACGCAAAGACGACGTTACTAACGTTACAATCACGTTAAAGATGAGATTTGATTTTCTTTCTTTTTTTTTTTTTTTTTTGAATGAATTTATGCTCGAAACATCACTCTAATGAAATAACTCAGCGTCTAATAGACGGAATGTGTGATGAATGTGACAAAGCGAAAGCAACAATTTGAGATTAATTGTTCGTCGACTGTCCTATTGGATGTAATTGATAATTGTATCGCGCGGCGAATTTATACATCTCCTTTGTCCGAATGTATCTGTTACATCGGTCATGCCTCGCTTCCCGCAATGTCCGAAATAGCCAGTCGACTGAGCGTGATTAATTCATCATCAATTAAAAGCGGATACACGTTAAAATCCGACATGACGTGACGTGACAAAAATGTAACAATAAAAGGCTGATTGCGATCATATCCCGTTGTTACCGTACCCCGTCAGCCGGCCGTTTGTGGACGAGGATCGTGCACGTTCGACTCGATTTCGCGATTCGCATATTATCGCACAAATTTAATTCACGCTGCGCGAGAAATATTATGAAAAATGGGACGCGCATATTTATTTAATTTGCC